ATAAGAAGGAAAAAGAGGCTAGGAATTTTCCTAAGCGTAGAGCTCACGCCAGAACCGTAACAAAAGGAGGCACTTGTCGTCCAGATTTGAACCACGGGCTCAGGATCAATCAGGACACTTGTCCACGTGTAAACTTCGTGCATGCTATTTAAACCCGGCAAGGCTTATGCCTCGACGACGCAGCCGCAATACGTCGACAATGAATTGCTTCTCACAAGGGCTCCCCAAGGACAGTGTGGCGATGACGTCACAGAGAAAGGGGAGAGAGACGGTGGGAAGAGGAGGCAGGCGAGGGCAAGAAATCCAAAGAGTGAAAATAATGCCATGAGGGGGGTCGTGGGATGTCGGGCGGAGGCGAAAGGAGGCGAGGGCGGGTGAAGGCGGCAAAGTGAAAATATGAGGCGCTTTGAAGGACTGGGCGGACTGGGCGGAATTGCGCTGGCGCCAAAACCGACGCTCGATGCGTGTTTACCGCTCGGGATCTATTCTTCTTACAGCGAGATCACGGTGTAAGTAAACGTGGAACCGTGGACACGTGTACAGAAGGAGGGGTGTGGAGCATCTGATGTGCGCGTGGACTACAGAATCCGCGCCCACAACTATCACCACAACTATCACTGTTGTACCGTAGTTTACCTGAGAGGGGGCCCACCCATGCGTTCCTTGTTTACCACACATACCCTTGAAGGGTACGTACATACTCCACAGCTAGTGAGGTCAGCTACGCCTTCAACCCTGCCTCACCCCACCTTCGATGTCGCGCCCTTCCGAAACGGCGGTCCCCGTCCGTACGCGTCTGCAGGACCTCCCCGTCGACATCCTTCTCCTCATCTGCGACGTGCTGCCGTTGCGGGACCTGCCGCCGCTGTCGCAAGCCTCGCGCCTCTGGTCGCGCCTCATCCACCACCGCGTGTACCCGCGTCGCGTCGCCTCCCTGCTCGGCGTGCGCGCCGTCCGTCTCGAGCTCCCGCCTGGCCCCGCGCTTCTGCCCCCGTCCATGCGTCCCCTCGACCCCACCCCACGCTTCTGGCCCGCCTTCGTCCCGACCCTCGCCGCGCACCGCGCCCTCCGCACGCTCCACGTCTGCGTCCCGCTCTCGCGCACCGACTCGGTCAACTCGCTCGCGCTCGAGTTTGACGTCTCGCGCGCCGACATCTTTCACACAAACGCCCTGCTCAACGATTCCCACCTCGCGTGTCGCACGCATCTCTACCTGCCGCTCCTCGACGACGACGCCGTCCGTAGAGCCACGGGCCGTCCCACGGCGTCGCAGGCCCCCATCCTGGTGCGCGACCTGGTTTTGAAAAACAAGCACTTTTTCGTCGTCGACTTTCGCACCGTGCCGCAGCTCTACCCGCACCAACAGCAACACGCCGCCGGTGCCCGCCGCCAGACTTACGTCCGACAGTTGGTCGTCAAGCTCATCGCAAAGGGGCTCGCTGTCCACGAGGACGAGGTCAGGTTTTACCTCGACGACAACAATTTTGACGTCGCCGCTGCTTACAAGCAACTCCTCCGCGACCACCAATTCTCCCCGTGAACACTACCGCTCACTCGACTTGGCCCGTCCTCGATACGAAGCCCGCAAACGAACCGGCTGCCGAAAGTTCGTCTCCAGCTCCGGCTTTGCCGCGCGCAACAACCGCCCATTCTGTCACAAATGTGAAAACAACAACCCCCATGGTCAGCCTCTCACCACATTTTCTACTTTTGCTTGTGCTCGCCTGCGCTGGCGAGAAAACTTACCTCTGCACTATAGGCGACATGATAGTGTGAGAGCGACCTGTTGAGGCGCTCGACAAACCGGCTCGGCATGACCACCGTGCTCTGGTACATGGCGGCGAAGAAGATGACTGTCGGGGCAATCCCCAAAAGCGCCCACGCAAACCACAGGCGCATTGACTCTTGCGTCTCGCGAGGGGCAGACTCGGTCAGCTTTTGCCGCAGACGCCATGTCCAGTAGGCCGAACTCGCGATAAGCAGCCCGACCACCACCTGCGTTGTCGCAACAAGCCATTAAACAGAGGTTGTCAGATTATGCTCAGTGACGGCGATTTGACACCAGTTGCATTGTAGGTAGAGCGAAGGGGGGGGCTTACCAAGTAACGGCGGCGGAGCTGCCGGAGCGAGTTGACAGACTTGCCAAGGTTCCTGCGGCCATAGATGATAGAGGCGGTTAGCGATTTTGAGTGTGAGTGGCATGAATAATTGCGTGCTTTCCCCCTGGCGTGGAGCAAGGGCGCCGTCTCTCGTACCGTTCAAACAAGCGGATGTCCTGCAGCTGCGTAGCGGGGTCGAGCGGCGGAGCCTTGCCCTGGCTCGAACTGGAGCCAGACGGCGAACGCTGCATGCTGCTCAGTGCGGCCTGTCTCAAGGACAGTTCTTCTACTCGGTCGAGCGGCTGCTGCGCCGCTACCTTGACGTTCGCGCACGGGGGCGGATGTCCGGGGGGGGGGGGGGGGGAGGATGCTGATGGCGGTGGTGAAGAAGAATGTGGATGCAATGATGCTTGCATGTACGGGGACTGGAAACCGCGTGTGCGGCCTGCTGATAATTTAGGAAATTTTAGGGCGGATACCGTAGCTACACGTACTGGATTGGGCGCGAACGGGCTCCAGTCGGAGCCCGGCTTATATCAGTCACGATCGTTTCCCCCCGAACATACCGTACATTTCTCGCCCGCATTGTCTCCGCGATTTGCCGGCCGAGAGCAAGGGAGAGCTAGCGCGGCCGACGACAATTGGAGAAGCGATCAAGGGCGCGATGGAGGACGAGCGGTGGCTGATGATGGCCGTGCTGGACCACCTGCAGCGCGCGCAGTCGCGCGACGACGTGCAGAAAGCGGCGGTGCAGGAGGCGATGTTCGCCATCTCGAACGCGTACGCGCTCAACATGCACAACGCGGCGACGCGCGAACGATACCCTCTGAACGGGCTTGCGTTGCCGGACGTGTACAAGGCCGGGCGCGAGAAGCTGCTCGCGGGGGCGGGCGGTACGGGCGGGGGCGCGGCCGAGGTCAAAACACATCAGGAGCGTGATGTCGGGTTTGACAAGTTTCTTAAGAGAATCAAGGAGACGACGGCGGTTTTTAAGGGCGTCGAGGAGGGCAGCGAAGAGTATGAGAGAAGGGTAGAGAGGGCGAGACAGAAGTACGACGCGAAGGTGAGAGGGAAGAGGGGGGATCGAGGGGTGGTGGGGAGTGCGCAGGCGAGTGCGACGGCGCGTGCCGTAGCAAGTGGCACAGCGAGTGCGACGGCAAATGGGGAGCGGAGCGTGGAACGTAGCGGGGAATCGCTCGGGGAGGCCAGCGCTGAGGACAAGGAGCGCGCAGAGAAGCTCAAGGCGGATGGCAACGCGATGCTGAAGGCGAAGAAGTATAGCGAGGCGGACGCGTTGTACACGCAGAGCATCGAGTTGGACGGGAGTAACGCGGTGTACTACAGCAATCGGGCGGCAGCCAAGCTGCATTTGGAGCTGTACATGGAGGCCGTGGAGGACTGCAAGAAGGCGATCGCGCTCGACGCGACGTTTCTGCGGCCGCGGGAGAGGCTGGCGGCGGCGTATCGACTGCTGGGGATGGCGGACAAGGAGACGGAGACGCTGCGCGCGGCGCAGGAGCTGGCGCCGAGCAACGGCGCAATCGAAAGACAGCTCGGGGAGGCGGAACGGAGGCTCGGAGGTGGCGCGGGTGCTGGCGGGGTGGGGATGGGCGGTATGCAAGGGATGGGCGGTATGCAAGGGATGGGCGGAGGGATGGACGGAGGGACGGGCGGAGGGATGGGCGGGTTGCAGGGGCTGCTGGGTGGTATGGACCCCGGGATGATTAACAACATGGCGCGGGCCATGGGGATGCCGGACGGGGCGGTGGAGTCTTTTCTCAACTCGCCGATGGCGGGGCAGGTGGGTGAGATGATGCGTAATAACCCGGGGATGATGCAGGAGGCGATGCGAAGTATGATGGGGGGAGGACGCGGGGGAGGAAATGGGACGGGATAGAGACTGAAGAAAGAGAGTGGGGCGAGTACGAGTACAGGTAGAGTAATCCAGATGGTAGCAGGACACACCTCCGACGTGTCACGCTGGCAGAGGCCATGACCAGCAACCCACAGATTGGCGCCGCCCCATTGGCTGTCTGTCCGCCCCGCGGCCCGCCGGTCCACACACAGCCCCTCCCCACCCGCCATGACAACACAAGATTATTCCTCCTCGCACCGGGTTCCCCCCACCCACACCGGTCCCCGCGTGCTCGCCAAGGACACTGGCGGTATTGTCCGATAATACATCCCTCGCTATCGGAGTTGAACACGGGGACTCCAACAA